TTGCTTTTGTTTTGAAAAAGTTATTCACATTTATGTCACGTAAATAAAATTCCAAAAAGTTTTGTTACACACTGTATATAAGATTTGAAAAATAATAATAGGTTATAACCTATATATTAAATTTAATATAAACTTGAGAATTAAAAATTAAATCAAATAAAATTCTTTTCACTAATCCTTTTGTCAACTCCAAAAACAGATATTCTTAAAAGATTTTATGTCTTTATAATAATAAAATCTATACACTCTCCTTAACAACACTGGTTTTCTAACCAGCAGAGCAAGCAGAAACTACCACTTGTTTTATTTTTCTTTTTTAAAACATACTTCTATTTTATTTTTGTGACTAAATATAAGAAACTTATCTAAAAGGTTTATGACAAGAACACCTTTATAGAAAGAAAACTGGCAAGCAAAAATATCTTCTAAAGACCTCCAAAAGATTCAAAAATCTAAAAAAACAAAAATAAAAAAGTCTCCAGTCTTCCTATCTTCTCTTTGACTTCCTACTTCTTTTTTTTCAAGCATGCTTCCTTTTTTTTTGGTTTTTCTAAGAAATTTTGCCTACTTCAGTTTAACCTTGAATTTTTTGGTCACACTGGATTTTCAAAAAGATAATTGATCAAGATCACAGATTGATTAATCACATCAGCCACAGAAAAAGTAAACAAGACATATACTCCTTATGTGTTTCCAGTCATATAATACCAAACTGATAATATGATTAGTTTTTAAAAGAGTTGGATAAGTTTTAGTTAAAGAAGTAATATGAAAGTATTAAGTGAAGTTGAAGTTGTGAGTAGAAAAAAAGTGATCCCTTTTTGTTTTTATCTTTTTATTTTCTTATTTTCTTCTCTATTCTTTCTTGAGGACAAGAAGTAGTAACAAAATCTAGGTTCTATTTCAATCTGGTAACAAGTTGAAGTATCAATATTTATTCCAAAAATAGTTAAAGAAAGAAATCTTGAAACTATCTACTGGTTGAATGAAACAATAATTCCAGAAAACATGACTTGAAAAGGAAATAAATAATAGAAAACTAACATTCTTTCTGATTAGAAGTCTTCAAGTATAAAGTCTCAAGAAATACTCTTCTGGAAGTATCCTTAAATATTCTTGGACATCAACTACTCCAATAAAAATTAAACAGTTTGAATGGCTATAGGTGATAAGAAGTAAGAAATCATGAGAAGCTTGGGTTTTGAAGTTCATAAAGATAATCTCTTCAATAATAGTTAAAATAAATGATAGCTTTTTTTCTTTTTATTTCTTCAAAAAATTACTTTTTTATTCTTTTTTTCTCTTGCATAGTTTCTTGCATAGTTACTATAAGAGAAGGTAACACAATTTGGGTTTATGGTCATGACTATAGAGGTGATCTGCAGGTTTTGATCCTATTGGAAGTTTAGGATCTTAATTCTATCCTTTAGAAGAATAATATTATCTCCATAAATTGTATCTAGAAACTTCAGCTGTTGACAGGTAAGTTGGATCAAGAAAATTTATATTTTGTATGTATTTTTTACTTGTAATGGTTCTTTATAATTTAATAAATAAACAATATCAACCTGATTGTAAAATTAAAAAAAAAAATTGAAAACTGAATCAAATTATTAAAATTCTTAATAAGTTTTATCTAATATAGGTCTATTTTTTAATATAAACTAATTAATTAAAGTAGTTGGCTTGACTTAAGAGAAATCAATAATATTGAAAATAATATTTACTAAATAATATTAATTTATATCTAAAATAATAATAGTCTAGTTTGTAAAGATATTTGATATATTAGTTAGATATATAATCATTAATAAAAATTTTATATTTAATATTCTTAATCAATTAATATATATATATTATTATTATTTATTTAATAATTTTATATAACTTTATAAATATTTTTATTAATAAATAATAAATTATTTATAAATTAATAGTATAATAAATAGTATTTTCAAATTTTCAAATATATGTTTTTAGTTCAATACCTATCTTTTAAATTATAAGATATTTTTTTAATAATATTTAAAAATTTTTAATTAAAAAGTTACTTCTTATTTATTTTTTTTAAATAATTTAAATATTTTTCTAAAAATTTATATAATATTAGTTTTAATTATATATTATCTATTGATGGTATTTATTTTTTATTTATTTAATAAAAATTTAAAGTTTCATTATAAGCAAAATTTTTAATTTTTAAAATAATTTTTTTTAATAAAAGTTAATCTTAGACAAATTTAAAAATTCTTTAAGTTAAAGTTTATATAATTCATAAATAGTTTTGTAAAATTATTTATAAATAATAACTTTAATTATTATAATTTTTATAATTTAATTATAAAAATATTAACTTGTATTAGAAATAAGATAATTTTTTTATTTTAAATATATATTTATTTTTATATAATTTTTATACTAAAATTTTAAACACAAAGTTTAAAGTTATTTATTTTAAAAATTTTTAATAAATTTTTAATTTTTTACTTAATAAAGTTAATAAAGAATATCTGAAATTATATTTTTTATAATATAAGTAAGTTATAAAAATTAATATTTAAAAATTTATAAAAATTTTAAATATGCAAACAAATTTGTCCACATTACAATTTAAGAAATAAAAATTAAAAATGAATCTTCAAATTTGAAATTTTTATTTTAACAACTATATTTTTATAATTTTTTTTAAAAATAAATCTAAAAAAATAAATAAAAATAAAAATAAATTTTAATTAAAAAATTTCAAAATTTAAATTGATAAAATAAAATTCATTATAATTATTTGCAATTAATCAAATTATCTAATATTTATTATATTATTAGATTCAAAAATATTTAAAAAAATTTATAAGAAAAAGGTATTATTTAATTGTTTTTTAAGTATTAAAAAAAGTATTAACAAAAAAAAACATTAAATCTAGTAAAATAAAACAAATATTTTATTTTATTGATTTTTTTTAAAAAATCTTTAAATCTTTATAAAATTATATAATACAAAAACAACATATAACTTATTGTATACATACATACATTATATATTATTTTACTTAAGTATATTTTGTAAATAAATTTATAAGAATTTCAAGATTTTTTAAACTTTAAAATAATATAATACTTTAATTAAAAAATCAATAGATTAAGCAACTTGAAGATAATAAAAAGAATATCTTTGTTTTGTTTAAACTAAAACCAAATGATTATGAAATTTAATTATTTCATTATAATATAAATAATAATATTTTTTAAATTGTTTGTTGAATATACTGTATATTTTATTTCTGATATTGTGATTATGAATTCTAGAAAATTTTACTGAAAACAATTTTAACTATATAAAGTATGTAAAGTATATAAAACTTAAAATAAAATAAAAATAAATTACGGTATACATATAGATATGTGTTTGATTTCATAAAATATAGTATATGCTATGCACATTTAATTTACTATTGCATTCATGCTATATATTCTTTTTATTTTTTATCTTTTAATTAATAGTCTAAATTTGCCGTGACCTCAAGTAAAAACATTAGTGTTTGAAAACAAAAAGATCTTACATTATCAATGCTACCGATCCATAATCTTGCAGTTAAAAAGAAAGCTGTTTCATGTGCAGTTGTCCTAGTTATTCACACTCGAGTTTATAGGTCTTCGTCCAACTTATACGAAACCATAGCATCAACTCTATGATAGTTCGTCGAAAAGGACCTAAGGCGCACTTGTTCAGCATTTTCAATGATGTGAGGATCCGAATCACCCCATTCGATTGGCACCTCGGCATCCCGATCAGTATACGCCAAGATGTTAAAAGTACCTAATTTAACATTTAATATACAAACATGTAAACACAGATTATATTCTTCACTATGTTAACGGGCGGTGCTTACATTTGTCTGTCAGTGTTGGTAGAAATGTAATGCTTGACGTGATCTGACGAATAATTTCACGGATTTCAGTTTGAATCTGTTTCTCCGTTTTTTCTTTTTTCTTTGCTGACGCGCTGCCCCTGCCATAGATGACGCATTAATTTTGATCCAATCATTAAAAAAGGAAAATAAAAGAATTTGTACTTTGAAGAATCATTATCATCTATGACTTGTATATCGAATTGCCATCTTTCGAGTGTTTCGCGAGAGTCCAAATCTAGGATGGCCAACACGAGTTTCTGGATTTTTCCTGCCATCAACCAAGCTGGAATTTAACACGAGTCGGTGAGATTCGCAACCAAAAGAACTGCTTAAGATCACAGAAATAAGAACATTTACATTCAACTTGAGGCAAGAGTCTCTTCAAGTATAGCTTTAACGAATCGTCAATTGTCATCACCAAAGTAACCCCATATTTTTTGACAAATTTAAAGTCTTCCGAAAAATAAATTCCTCTTTGGTATAAGATGCTGTTTTAAGCGATCAAAAAATTTTAGCTTTGATTTTGAGAGGCGCTTATTTTTGAAATGTGTGAACCATACATACCTATTTATGGCGAACTCTGTCGTTTGAATTGAATTTTATGATGGGTATCGTTAATAAGATATTCTAGAAAAAAAGGCGTAAATTTTGACTCCGAATTATAAATACCGAAAAATTCGACGATAATTTTTGTAGAACCCTTGAGATAAATCGTTGATCGATTTGCGGTTTTTACTCCCATTTTGTCACTTCTATCAGCTGAGGGAAACAGGACGCGTTTTTTTTGTTGTGCTGCAAATTATTTATCATGTGATCGGTTATTAACAAAGATTATTGTCACATGACTCAAGTATAAAAAGGACTCGAGGTTTTTTTACAAAAATAATATGATGACTAATGTTGATTTGAGGAGTTTACAAAATTAAAGAACAAGACAATTAATTTGTAAGTTAATGTTTATACTTTTAGATTCTTTACTTTTTTAGCATCCCTTACTTATAATTTTCGCGTCAATCCCTATCTCATCATTGAAAATATGTCAAAGTCTAAAGCCGCCAAAAGAACTAATGGACGAACCTTTCCCAACGTGATAATCTCAAGCATTGGCCTCACCGTTACCTGCACAGATGCAAAATCATCGATGTGGCCATCGGATTCCCCAATTAAAGATCGAAACGGATATATTGTTTGTTTTCAGCGCACTACCGGGCATGACAGAAAATGTAATCTTTATGCTACAAAGGTTGGTGAGGTTCTGGCAAGAGCATTGGAAGATGGATCTGACAAGAAAATTACCAATCGTAAGTAGTCTTGAAAAGAATGCAACTCATTTGATGGTTGTAACAAGATCATTAAAATATAAATTGATTATTTGTGAATAGGTAAATTGGCATTACTACCTCAAGGATATGCATTGTTTGACCGTCTTCGAAAAGTAGAAAACGGTGAGATCACTAGGCGCGATACTTATCTGTTTGGTAAGTGACATACCTTTGTTGATTCATTATAGAAATTGGTGCTTATTGATTTACCTAAAATTTGCAGGTAGCCCTTGTTCCTCAAAATTTTGTTCGCCACATGAATTCGAAGAACATCTTTTATGGCTTGCATCCGACAAGTTCATTGCATGCCATTGCAAATATTGTATATCGAATAGGGAAAAAGGCCTACCGAGCCCTGTGACTAGAATTGTATCACAGGAAGAAGACGATTCCACTCCTATGATCATACAAGCTGAAGATGGTGCGAGCAATGACAACGCATCGGCTCCACTTGAGGCTAATTTTGATGCACCCACGGATGAAAGACACAATTCAGATTCTTCGTATTCATCAGGAAAGCAAAATTTTGATTCATCAAGTGATGACCATGCTGAATCGGATATATCAGATACAGATGAAATACACGAAATACTCTCATCACCGTGTCTAACTTCGGATAGCGAAGGTTCTGAATGTCATATGTATTCAAAAAACATGTACGATTTTTCGGAAGAGACGTCCAGTGAGGGCGAGCTCTCTTCTTCAAGCACTTCGAGCAACCTGGACGAATTAGTACAAGCGAGATTAAGAAATGTTGAAGAACGTTTGTCGAAAAGGCTAGATTCAGATGATTCTCTCCTATGTCTTGACGTTTGTCAAGAATCCAAATATTATGAGAAAATGTATCGTCGTAATGAAATTGTATGGGTGGACATCCGGCGCGTTTGGAATCAGCCAGTTAAATGCGCTGAATCTTTATTAACTCATTGGCCAGCGCTCATAAGGAGCCGGGAAAGAAATGCTAGGGATAAGTTTATTCTATATAAGGTGATGATATACTCGTTGAATAATCATAAGATTTTGAGGCAGAAAGCCATACTCCCGTGGCGAGCTCTTAATCCAAATAAATTCTTAAGTACATTTGAGAATGCCGCACGAAGTAAGGATCTTGTATCAAAATTTATTCAGGCTTTGGACTCCGTGAAAGTTAGGTCTTCGATGTGCTGTGCAATGGATTCCTACTATCTGTTTTCTTCATCCTCCCGAAGAAAGAACAGTTCAAATTTGGAATATTCGCAGGAAATAGGACAGTCGGAACATTACAAGAGTATAATATTTGGTCCAGAAGTGTTACGCGAAGGTGATATTCTTTTACTTGATTCTGAAAAAATCGATGTAGACAGGGATGACAATGACGACAGAAACAATGATACAGTGTTATTTAAGGTTCATTACTTTTATTATTTTAAGCGGCGAAATCGAATTGAGATGACCGGTGATATGTATAGACATTTTAAGCTTATTGAAAGGAGCAACACATTGGCGTTAAAGAAAATAGAGATGGCGCAGAACCTATCGGTCGTTGGGTTAGATGAGGTGATTGGAAGGTTTTACAAATATGATCAAGATATTAATCGACCTGCTCCCTTGCACTCTCCGGATTCCGCAAATGTTTTATTTTGCTAAATCTCGAATGTCATAGTGTGAGAATGGCTTGCCAATGCCAAACGAATGTTTCGGATGTCATCTCACTTTAACCATATTGTTTTGATTCTTTTAAATTGTAATATTAGTTCGCCACTGAAATAAATCGATATCAGGATAATGAATTTCGCTAATAACAATAGATACAGTATATATTGATTTATGGATGCCTTATTTAGTAACATAAATTGTTTTGTGACTGAAACCAATTCCGTACCATTCCGTATACACACAATGATGCGCCACTTGATCAATTATGGAAACTTTTTCAGAGAATTCATTTATTTAGGAAAAAAAAACCATAGACGAAAAAAAAACCCCAATTCTTTCTACAGTAATACATATTACGATGAGCACCAGGGATGAGTTTAAAGAGTTGGATTCATTGAATGAATATCGGGTGAAATCCATAAACAGCGCCTATTATATCAAAGAGTTTATTGATGCACAGGAGGAGCAGAATATCTTGGATAAAGTCAGCATTGTTGCGGATTGAATTCAATTAATTGCAATGATTTTTCATTGGGGTTATTTCATTTTCCCATCCTACATACTTTGTTCCTTACAGATCTATTCAGCACCTAAACCAAAATGGGTCACGTTGAAAAATAGAAGGTATGCAGCAATTCCACTTGACGATTTCTTTGCGATTCTTTTCTCGTTTGGATAACACTACGTATTCATTTCTTGTGCAATCTTAGATTACAAAATTGGGGTAAGATAGCGAATCGGATTTTCAGTTCTTTACACATGTCTTTCCACTTTGCACTCACCGTACTTCTTTTTTACTTGAGAAAGGCGGAATCCCAACAGAGCGAGGAATGCTCTCCGAACCGTTACCCTCATGGCTGACTAACACCATATTTCCGAGGTTTACTAAACTTAATATATTTTCCGAATGCGAAAAATTCCATTTACCAAATCATTGTTTGATCAACGAGTATCTTTCTGGTCAAGGGATTATGGTGAGTGTGAAGGGAACCGTTAAGTAGGAATGGTTTTACTTCCAAGAACTTTCGATTCACTCTTGTTTTTCCAATACTATCACGTGAAATTGCATCCTCAAAAGCCTCACGAAGATGGACCATTCTACTTTCCAACAATAGCCACTGTTTCTTTAAAATCACATACAATACTATGTTTTCATAAGCACATCGACGCTTCATCATCAACAAATCAGCCCGGTGTTAATTACGACACTCCTGAATTTTCGCTACTGCTCGAACCTCGGAGGTATGCATTAACGACAACTACATGCTTACTTTTTAAAATGAACATGATCAGATATATTAGAAATTTACGAATTCGCGTTTTTAAACTTAGTCTTCTAATTCTAAAGCATGACTTATACAAAAAATACCTCCACGGAATTCAGGAAAGGAAAACCGATAATCTGGTAGAATCAAATGTTATGAATCTTGAACTTACTGAGTATTATCAACAAAGGCTGCAAAAGCGAGGAAGACAAAAGAACATTATAACTAGTAATGAAGATGAAAATAATGAAAAAGATATAGATACGGATGATGGAGACACTCTGTTATTAGAAAGAGATACACGGATTAGTTTAACATTTAGAATAGTGGAAAAGGTTATGAAAGCCAGGATTTTTGGTAAGAAGTGATGATGCGGTAAAGGAAAACTCAAGAATGAACTTGACAATAAAGTAAATTGCTCTTTAATGTTTATATTATATGTCTTTCAATTAATCAAAGAGATAGTAATTGAGAATATTTAATATACCGTATTAATTGAATTACATCTTTTCTTAATAAGTGTATAAATATAAATGGAATGAATATTTAAATATTATAAATAACTAAAGACAGATAAATGAATATTTAAATATTACAAACAATCAAATATAGATGAAATATTTAAATGAATATTTAAATATCACAATAATTAAAGATAAATGAATTATATAAATGAATAAAAATATAATATAAAAAAATTTGCGAGTTAAAAAGCTAATTGTTAAAATTCATTATATCAAGATCTACTTCTTTACTAGTACAATCTAAAATATTAAGTAGAATATTTTTGTTAGGAATAATCGCACGATTTTAAATAAGAAAGTATGTTCTTTACCTTCTTCGGAGTTCTCATCAACCAATGCTCGGGAAGTGTCATTCTGTTTTCTATATTTTCTTCCTTTAAATAGATAAAATATTGACATACAGTATAAACAATAAACCAAGTTATTCTATGAGTAAAAAAAAAGATAATTTTTTTAAACATTACCACTACAGTCGAGATGAAATTTCTCATCAATTTCATGCTTAATAGGCCTAGAAATTCTAAGAATTATTTCTGAATTGCTAAAAACATTCCATTTTGCATATATGGCATGTAAGAAAATAAATTCACTTACTTTACATCAGTCTCTTTCCAAACGTAATCGATAAGGTTACTTGTGATTCCTAAGGGGTTGGTTCCTGATTTTAAGAAAAAAGATCTATCAAATCGTCGACTTGTGTAAATTGCATTCGGATGTATACTATGGTTATCGAATAACTTGTTTTCGGATAATAGTTTTACTCTTAATTTTTCCGCTAATATAAGTTGTTCCTTATCAAAACCTTCTAAATGCCATTTTCTTAAAATTTGAATTATATCATCAATGCTTGGCCTCTTTTTCGGATCTTTTTCCCAACACCGATTCATTAAATCCTTAAAGAATTCTGGAGTATCCAGGCTAATTTCTGGGCGTAATCCACGTATAATATTTATCCAAAATTCATCATGCAATTGTTTAGAAAATGGTTTGCAGCCAGTTGTAACTTCCCACATAAGCATTCCAAAACTATAAATGTCGGAAGCCTTCGTAAATGATTTATTTAAATATAATTCGGGCGCCATGTAAGGAATAACTCCGTATATTGAATCATCGTCAGATGGTTTATCCGCTGGTTGACATAGACCCAAATCTCCAATGTATGGCCTGTTTTCATAATGTATCTTTAATAAGATGTTTCCACTATGTAGGTCACGATGTATTAAATTCATATCATGAATTACTTTTAAGCTATTATAAAAGAAATCAAACGGCATGTTAATAATGCATTGTTATTAAGTTAACAATAGAACGATAACAATTACCCATTCGCAATATCTAACAACATCGAAATTTTATTTTCCCATGTTATTCCCTTAAAATTATTATGTAAATAACGATGAAGGCTTCCTTCCTGTGCATATTGTAAAACAATAATATAGCAATTCGTCCTAGGATCTTGTGTAATTCCATAACATTGTACGATGGAATTAAAATTCGTGCATCTCCTATGCCATTCAATCTATTGTTATGTAGAGTGAATTTTTAAAAACCATTAATATAATAATTTTAAATAGGAAATAGAAAGATTACCCTACCTCACTCAAGAACTTCATATCTGCATTTTCAGAATTTTTCAAACTTTTAAGAGCAACGGTAATTGTTTCATTTAGACTAACCCAATCAGCTTTAAACACACTCGAATATCCACCATTAGATATGTGTTCGATATTAACGAACGCCTCATATGGAATCCAACGTAGACGATCTGCTTCATCACCTTGATTTTTTAAGAATTCATTAACAGATGGACTTAATTTCAAGAGGCAAGTTTCGCAGAAATACTCCTTATTGTAAATAACACAATGGCATTTACTACATAGAAACAGTCTGGTTTCTATTATTTGGTTTTTTATTAGCAATTTATTTAAATCTGCAAGTGATTCTTCATATTTAGTCATTGTGCGGTAAGTGTGGCCTCGTGAACTTAATGCCCATTCATCGTTTGGTTTTATTTTCAGTGCTTTATTTAAATCTGCAAGTGATTCTTCATATTTGGTCATCGCGCGGTAAGTCTTGCCTCGTAAACATAATGCTGTTACGTCATCTGGCCTTGTTTTTAGCAATTTATTTAAATATGCAAGTGCTTCTTTATATATTCCCATTGCAACGTAAGTAGCCACTTGTATTCTTAATGCCTGTGCGTTATTTGGATCTATCTCTAAGGATTTGTTCAAATCTGTAAGTGATTCTTCATGTTTCTCCATTATAAGACGGATATACCCTCGTAGACGTAATGTTATTGCATCGCTTGGTTCTATTTCTAGTGATTTATTAAAATACACAAGTGATTTTTCATAGCTAATCATCGTATGGTGAGTATATTCTCGTAACAATAATGCCATTGCATCCATTTCTAGTGATTCATTTAAATATACGAGTGGTTTTTCACGTATCCCCTTCATGAGATGAGTGTGCCCTCGTAAACGTAATGCTATTGGATCGTTTGGATTTATTCCTAATGATTTATTTAAATCTGTAAGAGGTCCTTCATAACCTCCCATCATGAGGTGAGTATACCCTCGTAAACGTAATGCTATTAGATCGTTTGGATTTATTCCTAATGATTTATTTAAATCTTTAAGAGATTCTCCATAACTTCCCATCATGAGGTGAGCATACCCTCGTAAACGTAATGCTATTGGATCGTTTGGATTTATTCCTAATGATTTATTCAAATCTGTAAGAGATTCTCCATAACTTCCCATCATGAGGTGAGTATACCCTCGTAAACGTAATGTTATTGGATCGTTTGGATTTATTCTTAATGATTTATTCAAATCTGTAAGAGATTCTTTATAACCTCCCATCATGAGGTGAGTATACCCTCGTAAACGTAATGTTATTGGATCATTTGGATTTATTTCTAATGATTTATTCAAATCTGTAAGAGATCCTTCATATCTTTTCATCATGAGGTGAGTATACCCTCGTAAACGTAATGTTATTGGATCATTTGGATTTATTTCTGATGATCTATTCAAATCTGTAAGAGGTTCTTCATAACCTCCCATCATGAGGTGAGTATACCCTCGTAAACGTAATGTTATTGGATCGTTTGGATTTATTTCTAATGATTTATTTAAATCTGTAAGAGATCCTTCATAACTTTTCATCATGAGGAGAGTATACCCTCGTAAACGTAATGTTATTGAATCGTTTGGATTTATTTCTAATGATTTATTCAAATCTGTAAGAGATCCTTCATAACTTTTCATCATGAGGAGAGTACACCCTCGTAAACATAATGCCACTGTATTGTCTGGATTTATTCCTAATGACTTATTTAAATCTGTAAGAGATCTTACATATCTTCCCATCATAAAGCGAGTATACCCTCGTAAACATAATGCTATTGGATCGTTTGGATTTATTCCTAATGACTTATTTAAATCTGTAAGAGATCTTACATATCTTCCCATCATGAGGAGAGTACACCCTCGTAAACATAATCCCATTGCATCATTTGATTTGATTTTTAGTGATTTATTTAAATCTGCAAGTGATTCTTTATAACTTCCCATCATTAGATAAATGTGTCCTCGTGATATTAGTGCCTGTGCATTATTTTGTTTTATTTCCTGTAATATATTTAATGATTCTTCACATCTTTCCATCGTCTTATGAATGTTGCCTTGTAACCATAATCCTATTTCATTCTTTGGTTCTAATTCCAGTGATTCGTTTAGTTCCGTTAGTAATTCTTTGTGTTTGCTTATTATGCGTTGAGGCTCTATATATGTGCTGCTCGAAAATATCCATGAGTAGAGTGCTTTTATTTCCAGTAATCTATTTAAACCTACTTGTAAATTTTCGTATCTGTTCATGGAATAATCGTAAAATTTATATTCTGATATGTTGTTAGAGGTAGTAAAGCCAAATTGTCTCTTGTATCGTGTAACTGTCATCTCTAGGATTTATAGATTTTGATTCGACTAAAAGAGGCATGGAATAACTTGACGGGTTATCAATTTGGCAATATTCATCCAGTAGGCACTCGATAAATATTCTTTTTCTATCCTCAAAACTACTCTCTTGGTCAATCTTGAATTATGATCTTGTGTTTTTGTCTCGATGCAATTAGAATGGTGGATTATTGGTTTATTTATTATCAGGAAATTATTTAATATCTAAATAAAAACTAGTTCCTGACTTTTATTTATAGTGTTAGCAAACCAACGAAAAAAAAACGTTAACACTTAATCTCTATATAAGGCTATATTAGAGTTCAGGTTTGGAATTTGATCTACAGGGGGGACAAAATAATTCGACCATTTTCATGTGATCAAAACGCCAACAAACTTCTCGATAGTTTGACGTCATTAGTTATGTATTTATTGTATAACCAAAAAGATCGCTAGCTATATAGAGGATTATTGTAAGAAAAAAATTTTTGGTAAAAAAAGAAATTTTAGATTAAAAAATTATCTAATATTTCCAACCGAAAAATCGGAAAATTGGTTAACTGTAATTAATAACTTTTTTTTTCAACTATTTATTAAATAAATATTATTGTGAATTTGTTGTCAAATTAAATATAACTTCAATTATAATATATATTTTTAATAAAGAAATAAATAAAAATTTTCTTATTTATTTATAACTTTGATATTTTATTTATTATTCTTAATTATTTTTAATGAGAAATTATTTGATTCTTATATAAATCAATTATATTAACAGTTTTAATATTATATAATTAAAAATTATTTTAATATATTAAATACAATTTAAACAAGTTCAACTACTTATCAAAACTTGAAAATAAAATCTATAAACATATATAATAATATGTCGATATAATAGTTTCTTAAATTAACTAAAATAAATAAATTCAAATAAATTATCATTTTTAGATTTAATGTATTAGTATTAAATTTATCAAATTTTTTTAATACAATATTTAAAAAATTAATTTACAATATAATAAAAACAAAATTTAATCGATTTTATTTTAAACTAAAAAATTAAAAAAATACCATAACAATAATAAAATTAATTACGTATATTTTTTAAAATAAAATAAAAAGTTTAAACAGTTGATTTATTTATATTTTTCAAAATTATATTTTGTAATATAATTGAATTGTTTTATTAAATTAAAATATATAAAAATTTAATATATAAAACAAATCCAATAACAAATATATATTTTTATTTGAATATAAATAAAAGTTATAATTTAATATGCAATATGCAAAAATCTTTTTAAAATTTTATTTACATGATAAAATGTAAATAACTTTTTTAAAACAAAACCAATTAATATAAATTTTAAATATAAATTATTAATAGAAAACAATTAATATAAGTGGCTTAAAATATTTATTATATTAATTAAATTAATCAAAATATTCAAAATAATAACTTATATTTAATTATAGTAATAATTTTTGAAATTTATACTATTTACTTAATTTTTATAATTTTTGCAATATAATTAATGACTATATAAATAATTGTACAATATTATAGTAAAAAAATATTTTTTTTTAAATAAAACATATTTTTTAATAAAAAAATCTTATAAAAATATTTATTTCCCAAACAATTGTCTATATTGTTGATAATATTTTACATGGATATATAGTTGTATTACAAAGTAATTTTTATCAAAAAGAAATAACCTTTTAGCATATTTTTAAATAATTGTAATATAAGTCAATAAATCTAAAAAAAAAAAAAAATTACATTTGTTAGTTAAATTTCCAAAAAAGATATTTATTATTCATAATAATAAATAAAATAATTCTATAATATAATTAACTTAACTAATTACCAATAAATATAATCTGATTTAATTAACTTATTACCTTAATATCTTAACATTTATTACATAGGTTTTATAAATTGATATACAGTATATCTTATTATTTCTATTTTATTAATTATTGCTTCATTGCTTATCTTAAATAATTCCCTAAATTTGAATTAATTTAAAAAAAATATTAGCCTTACGATATATATAATGTAGCATAAACCATTCACTTGCAAAGTACCAATAATTATATTTTTATTTTTATTCTCTTTTTCTTAGGATTCATTGTCTTATCATCTTTATTTTAAATAAGTAAATATTTATTTATTTATTTATTTCACATCTAAAAGTAGTTGAGATCATTGATATTGCATTAGGCAAGATTTATATGAACGAAGTTAAAATTAGACATAGTTTTCAGAAAGTATCTTATATGATCTTTAAGGAAATACCCTTTGGTTTCGGATAATGATCATAACCGGTAAATATGTTTCATCAATACATATTGAGTAAATAACATCACCGCAGTCATCGAGCATTAACTCGAATTTTTGACATAGATCAAATCCTCATCTTGACATAAATCCGTACTGTTGCAATCATCTTCGCCACCGGAATCTTTCGGCGCATCAAGTTCTTTGGAGATAAACATGGATGGTGTAAATAATATTCGTCAAGTCATTACCATACAACAAGCTTTCATCAGTCAATGACACTGAATCTTCCCCGTCAATGATAGCAACCTTATTATTTTCTGGCTGCTGCACTTCATCATCTTTGGATCCTTGATCGGTAATGTTAGCACATTATTAATTAATTTTCCTCGAGAAAGCTTTTATATTAATCAAACATAGCTGTTGCGAGGATCATTACCATTACAACGAATATTGATGACAAGCATCATTGGCCTCAGAAACTTCATTAATTATAATAAAACTAAGAATAATCGATAGGATAACACACGGAAGTAAGCAAAATAACAAAATAACAAATAAAAATAAAAATGAATGTACATTCGGTACACCAGGTATTACAAATTACTTCTCTTATTAGCGTTAGGTGAACCAGAAGGCACATTTTTTTAGAGATGTTCTTCGGTGATGCGTGATCATACCCTAGTCCACATTATTTTTTTCGAATAGAATTAAGTTGAGTAATAAAGACCCCACACCTTCATCTAAATAGAGAATTACACACATACCCTAAAGATGGAAACCATCAACAAATCGTTATCGTAGTCATACTCTTGAAGATCAAATTTATCACGAATTTCCATAAACATTCTTCATTAAACAGTATGTCGCCTGTGTAGACTTGTTT